GAAAAATGTTCAGAAAATCGTCATTGGCTTTACAAATACCTACTTTTTGGAAATAACTTGATTCAAGATGGCGGCTACAGTTAACTGACTTCAGAAAGCATTTAAAAAAGCCATAATCCAGTCCGCTTGACAGGCAATGAGCTAAAACCTGTAGTAGCTGAGAGTCATTCACAACGGATACTCTGAGGAATATTTCAGATTGTCGCATGAGACATTTTGAAGGTTCCACACTCCATCATTTCTGATCATAAGGTGATCCCTGTCTAAACTTTGGCCTGAGCAAGAAATCTGTGTGTATTCTGTAAACTAAAGATTTTATTTCACTAAGGTAAAATATGTAAACACCTGTACTGCTTGACCAACCTTAAAGGATGCTGTCACGCTGTTTCCTAGTTTCCTCTACTCCCAGTATCCAAAATATACTTGCTTTTTTTTAAAAAAAAGGGACAAACTTGATGTGGATGATTCTCCAGGATCCCAGTTCAATATGGAGGGGTCATTTGAAATTAACAATAGACTGAACTTTTGTGATTTTGGTTCTCTCAATAAGAAATTTAAGTTTAAATGAACAGATTTAAGGAATGGGTCTCAAAAGGTTTAATGTCTTGGTCATTTTGCTACAAGGGTACTCAAGAGATTTGATGCTGTACACAAAGATTCTGGCCTGGAACAAGGTGAGTTTTTAAATACAAGTCACTGCAGTCAAAATAAAAATAAAACTGATCCTGCAGATATTCTTACCCTTAACCGAGCTTGTAATAAAAGAGATGCTGCTGTTCGGCTAATTGTTTTTATATAGCGCTTAGTGTATTTTTAGTTTTTTCTTAGTTCATATCTTAGATCGTATTACTGTTCTTCTTTTAACATGTTATACTTTTGCTGGATGTAACTGGGACCCTGTGTACATAATGTCATTCACACCACATGTACCATATGTGGTGTGAATGACAAATAAAGAACCTTGAACATAACAGGATGCAATAATCGAAACAAGAAACTACAATTAATGTAGAGCTAATTCTGTGTGGAGTCTTTGAGTCCAGTGGAGCCAAACAATGGACGCATCATCTGGACTTGTAACATTACAACAAACTTTTTGTTTTTGAAGGGACCAGTGGTTCATTTTTTACTGTACGTGATGTCAAACATTACTGGATAAGAGTTGATGGACAGCTTGGCCAGCATGACAAAAAGACAGAAGAACTGGAAGTGGCAGAAATGAAGATGCTGAGGTTCTCCTTAGGAGTGACAAAGATGAATAAGATTAGGAATGAGATCATCAGAGGTACAGCACAGGTTGAACAACTGGGAGATAAAGTTAGAGAGACCAGACTGAGATGGTTTGGACATGTCCAGAGGAGGGACAGTGGTTATATTGGTAGAAGGATGTTAGAAATGCAGCTGCAGGAAAAAGACAAGATATATGGATGCAGTTAGAGAGGACATTCATTCAACTTTCATGTAGACAGGTTAATCCCATTGAGCCTCGGGGACTCATTTACAAGAGAGACCTGATTTTAACAAAGTGATGACAACAGTAGACAGTCATAAGGGATTCGTACAAATTGAGAATAACAAGTGAAAATAAATGGTATAAAAAATGTAACAAAAAACAGCAAGG